AACAAGAAATAAGAACCAAAAATAAAGTCAAATCCCATTATACTACTGCCAACTTTGGGACAAGCATACACTTGGGGATAGTGAGGTTGGCAGTGCAACAGAGTTTTAATGCTGTTCTCTATTATTAGCAACCAAAAACCCAAATCCAACTCAGTGTTACATCGACTCGTAAATTCCTTATTTATACAAATAAAACCACAAACCACACATCACTGAACTGGAAAAAATTACAGCTGGATCAGAGGTTACTTGTCAAACGCATGTTGCCTGAAATCTACAAGACAAAGAAGGGGAGGTGGGATGGGTGGGGAGGGAGTTGTGTGTGGGAGAAGAGGGAGATTATATATACATGCAGCTGAAGAGTGGGAGCCCTGCACCGAGTGTACCTGTTGTAGCAAGTTTGCTGGTGCTGTTGTGAGACAAATTAAAATTAGTTTAGTAAAAACCATACACCTCAGGCAGATGGTAGGCTACTTTAAAGGGCAGGTAGTATGTTTGTATAGGTGTCCATTTTCGTGCATTGGCAAAACCTGAGGGTATAACGATGTTTAACTCACTATACAATTTATGTGAGGCATCTTGGTGAAATCATGCGCTCGTCAAAATAATGAAATCGAAAAAATCGGCATTTTTCATAAAGTTTGAAATTTTTTCAAATTTTTATTTTTTTGCTCAACACTTTGTATGTCTATTCAGAAATACTTTTATGTGTGGATTTTATGGAAAAACGTTGATTAAAGGCACGAAAAATGGAAAGTTTGCAGTTTCCAAGGACTCCTGGGCTACGGAAATCACCGTATGGGGTTATTGATATCATCTTGAAGCCTGTTCATTTGCCTTCCTTTTGGCGAAAAAAATATCATTTATTTTGAATAGAAGTCGAAATATTAGCCATTGAAGGAGGTCGGGTCGCCTGGTTTCAGAGGTAAATTTAGTGAGAAAATGGACGCCAAAGTTTGGTAATTTCCATAGCCCGAAAGTCTTTAAAAAGTGAAAATTTACAGTTTGTGAACATTTAATCAACATTTTTTAGTTAAATCCACACAAAAATGTGGTTTTAAATGGACATAAAAGGTGTTGAGCCAAAAATAGAAAATTAGAAAAAATGGTGTCGCAGGTATAAGAAGTGAGAAAATGGTCATCAAAGTTTGATGACTTTTTAAGCTTGAATGGCCTTGGAATCTGCATATTTACATTTTTTGTGCCCCTTTGATCAATGTGTTTCTGTAAAATCTACTAAGAAACCTATTTTTAAATGACCAAAAAAGGTGTACAGCAAAAATATGTGGCCTTTGTACAGAGGTGACTGTCTTATAGTACTTCTTATACAAGTGGCCATTAGAGCAGATAATAAACTGTATTTGAATCAGAGTGGGAACAAAAAAATGAAATGAGATTACTTTACTCTTTTTATTAGAAGCTTTACGGGACTTGCAACACAAATAGATCATATACATGCCAAAGAGTAAAACCATCAATAGAGAGTACAGTAACATACAAATAACATACAAAGAAATGAGGGAAGAGAGATATGAACAAAAGAAGTTTCATAAGAAAGATGGAGCAAACCAAACCAGAGTACCCACCAACCACCCACATTGTGAGGCATCATGGTGAAATCAGGCGCTCATCAAAAGAATGAAATTGAAGAAGCAGGCATTTTTCCTTCAGTTCATCAGTTTTTATCGAATTTTTGTTTTTAGGCTCAACACCTTTTTTTGACCAAATATAAACACATTTCCATGTGAATTTTACTGGAAAACGTTTAATGGCACATAATAGGTAAATAGTCAGTTTCCAGGGACCTTAAGCTATAGAAGTTTCCATACCTTGGCAGCCATTTTCTCGTTAATCTTACCCCAGAAACCATGCTATCCCCACCTCGTTCAATGGCAAATATCTCGACTTCTATTCAAGATAAATAGGTATTTTTTTCATAAATAAAAAGGCAAATGAATAATATCAAAAGCTCCACATGCCCAAAAACTGACTAGCGCCTGATTTCACCACACTGCCTCACATATTACTCTTCTAAAATTTCCAAGTGGAAATTGCTACACTTTTTGAAAATATCGGAGCATGAATATGTGTACATGTATGTGTGTGGCTGAAGGGTAGGTGAGGGGAAGGGGTGGGGAACCTTTCAACCCACTTATGCACTGGCAACCAAACAGAGACTGAAAACAAGCAAAACAAAAACACAAATCACTATTAATACCATTGTGAAATACGTTTCAGTTCCGAGGAACATTTACAAACTTTTACATATACTGTAGAACTTGTTCTAACAATCACCTGTCCAAGACAATCACGTATACAAACGATCATTTCCCATTCCCCCGCCCCACACCTATACCCCCTATCTGCCTTATAATGACCCTGTCCAAGGAATAACAGTTGTGATAATGAACAATTTGAAAGCGAGAAATGAAATACATATTAGGCCTTTCAATTGTGAATAAGTAAAAGGAGAACATTTGTACCTAAAATAAGTACTCTTCAACCCTCCCCCGACAACAAAAAACA